CTCATGCCCAAGACCCCGCCGCAGAAGACCCGGCAGCGGAGGAAGCGGCTCTCCGCCCTGCAGGAGGAGAGCCAGGAGCCGGGCAGGAAGAGGTAGGCCCGCCGGGGAGGGACCGGCCCTGCTCCGCGCCCGGGGCTGGGCCCCCGCCGAGGGCCGCGGGGGGGTAACCCCGTCCCGTTCCCTGCGGTAGGGGTCTGGCCGTGCGCCGGGGCTCGCTGCCTGGTGGCACAAGCGGGTCCCCTGAAAACATGGCAGTTTGTCCCTCGGGTCCCTGTGGTACCTCTGCGCTTCTTCGTGCTCTCTTCCACTCTAAAGCGATTGCGTACGTTAGCTACTTTCTGCGTTAGCCGCTTTCCGCAGCTCTGCGTACGTTCAGCTCTTGGAGCGGCTCGTCCCAGACGTTCAGCTTCGTTCCTCTGCGCGTTCCCATTTGTGCACGGAATGGCTTCGGTCTGTTCCTGAATTCAGCTTCAGTCTAACGCTCTGTTCCCATCGCTAGGTTATCTAGAAGGAGGAACAGCAGTCGCAAACTGGTGTCCTCCACGCGATATTCTCAACGGCTCCGAAATAAAGAAAACCTGGAACTAATCAGGGCTCAAGCCAAAGAAGTCTCTCCACCTCAACGCGTGACAAGATCCCAGGCTGCATCTGCTAAAAGCTCAGAGGTCCTTCCTGAGACCCCTCCCGTCCAGCAAGTAGAAGGGAAGGTTCCCTTCGTAGAAGCTGATGTCAGTGATCGCGTTAGCGCAGAGATGCACCTCCAGAAGGGTGCATCTAAACCAGCAGAGCAGCTCTCCATGACCATCCTCTTGAGCTCGGGTGATGGCTCTCCCGAGGAGAGCAGGGTTGCCAAATTGCCGCATGTGCCTGCAGCCTCTGAGCTGATGGTCCCTCGCACCCCTGAGGCAAACGATGCAGGAGAAAGCGAGGCTGTGCCTAAGCTGCAGACAGCAAAGGCAGCTAATACTACAGTCATCTTAAGCGAAGAGCTGAGCCTGGAGGAGGGAGATGACTCTGCTCGGGTACAAGAGGGGTCTGATAAGGAGCCGTCCCAGCGCATAAGGGAGAGCCCAGGGACGCCGACAGGCTCTAGGCAGAGCCGTCGCTCAGTGCGCAGAAGCCTGATGGGTAAAACGTCCATGACTCGCAGAACCTCCTTGGCAGAGAAGTACTCGCTGGCCAGCAAGAGGGAAAGCATGATCCGGAAATCTATCACCAGGACAATGATCAAGAGGAAGGCAGCTCGAAAGTCATCGGTGTCCTCCAGTCGCGTGGACGGTAAGTTTGAATGTCGCCAGCTGAGTTTGCTTGGCACCATTC